AGAGGGGATTTAATTTGACCGTTGTTCAACGCTAAAATGGTTTCTTTCTACGCTAGTTTAAGTTTAGGCCAAGTTAGTTTAAATGTTAAAAATGAGTCTATCAATAACTGAACTTCTTATTATGCGGCACAGATTGTATAATCAAGCTTCGGGTACACATTTATCAATATTGCTGCGCGGTGACGTTATCGCTTATACTCTGCGACGCAACGAAGAAATGTATTGATGCCATGGCACCGAACGTGTTGATGCCACCGCATCTAACGTGTTGATGCTGTTGGGGACTAATCAATAATTAAACATTCTCTGACCCCGAACATTTGGCCAATGATCGACAATAAAGGATGAATAAAATGGTAAATAAAGAACTATAATAATAAATGAACGATATATCCAAGAAAACAAATTATAAAACTGTAAACCGTGTGTCTTTCTAGCCCTTGCCTATTAATTCGTAATCATGTCCTATGTTCGGAACTTCGCTGAAAAAGCAAGAATAAATACAAATTAAGGACTTGAATTAACGGAACACTAACAAATGAATAAAGCACACAAAAATAAAAAACCAGTATAAATAATAATCGAAATCACCAGAAATGCCACCACTACATCAACACGGAAGAAAAACACGATAAACAATGCAAGCACTAACCTCTGTGGTGGATCACATAATAATGACAAGGTACAAGGCGCGTCTACACGATGTCTCTTATACACATCTAGATGTGTATAAGAGACAGGATCNTGATGCCACCGCACCTAACGTGTTGATGCCACCGCACCTAACGTGTTGATGCCACCGCACCTAACGTGTTGATGCCACCGCACCTAACGTGTTGATGCCACCGCACCTAACGTGTTGATGCCACCGCACCTAACGTGTTGATGCCACCGCACCTAACGTGTTGATGCCACCGCACCTAACGTGTTGATGCCACCGCACCTAACGTGTTGATGCCACCGCACCTAACGTGTTGATGCCACCGCACCTAACGTGTTGATGCCACCGCACCTAACGTGTTGATGCCACCGCACCTAACGTGTTGATGCCACCGCACCTAACGTGTTGATGCCACCGCACCTAACGTGTTGATGCCACCGCACCTAACGTGTTGATGCCACCGCACCTAACGTGTTGATGCCACCGCACCTAACGTGTTGATGCCACCGCACCTAACGTGTTGATGCCACCGCACCTAACGTGTTGATGCCACCGCACCTAACGTGTTGATGCCACCGCACCTAACGTGTTGATGCCACCGCACCTAACGTGTTGATGCCACCGCACCTAACGTGTTGATGCCACCGCACCTAACGTGTTGATGCCACCGCACCTAACGTGCTGATGCCACCGCACCTAACGTGTTGATGCCACCGCACCTGTGATATCACCTAGCGTTGAAGCCAATGAAATTGGTCGCATATTGGAATTCGGTTGATGGAAATTATCGAATCTTTAGAGCTATCGTGGCCGATAAAAGGAAATGTGCCGAGAGTTCTTATAAAAATTGAGAATATTTCAGCACATATGTTGGCATCAAGGTTTTGATGTGATGCGCTGCGGGGGAAATTTAGGTGGAGCGATACTTTCAATGCGAAATATCTACATTTTTCACTGAAGGCCGAATAATGTTGAATATTCTGGTTCAAAATTATAAACTGTACAACTCTTTTAAATGTTAATCATAAATAACTTTATAGAGTAGTTTCCTAAAAATATTGTAATTGATTTTGATGATAGTTGTGCTTGACGGAAGCCGTCATATTTCCGGAAAATCATAGATTGTTTGAAAAATTACTGGAACGTGAATGCCCTCTGTTAAAAGCATTAGAAACGTCCGTATTCCTTTTAGGCCGACTATGGAGTAGAAGTTTTCTTCTATTCGCGAAGTCGTTTATTAGTTGTCTGTCAGCTGATGTATATGCATGAACCCCCAGTAATTTGGTAAGATTTGCTTCATTAGTTTAAGGATTAGCTAAAACTGTGAATATTGTCATTATATTTTGATTTGTCGATTTATTTCTTATGCTATGTTTTGTACTGATTTCAGAAACCGGTCAAAAATCACCTACGAAATCCGTGTATTCATTACTGTCCTCTACGACCTTAAAGACCTACAAGGAGAGTCTTTACACCCTCCTTCATGCAACGAATCGAAAATGTACTCGCTCGTGAATGTACGTAGCGAAGAAAGCTACAGGTCAAGTGGCTAATAATATTCTGAACTAAGGAGTGTAGTTCAAGTTACCTGTCCTGAATTAACTATGTAAGTCCAAGTCACTTATTATAATCTGAACTAAGGAGGGAAGTTCAAGTCACCTGTTCTGAATTAACTATGTAAGTTCAATTAAGTCACTTATTATAATCTGAACTAAGGAGGGAAGTTCAAGTCACCTGTTCTGAATTAACTATGTAAGTTCAAGTCACTTATAATAATCTGAACTAAGGAGGGAAGTTCAAGTCACCTGTTCTAAATTAACTATGTAAGTCCGAGTCACTTATTATAATCTGAACTAAAGAGAGTAATTAAAGTCACCTGTTCTGAATTAACTATGCATGTTCAAGTCACTTATTATAATCTGAACTAAGCAGGAAAGTTGCAGCGGCTCCTAATATTGGTTTCGATGAGTCAGCGCCTGATGCCACTTGGAAGTCCGTCCGAACTTCCGGACTAATTAAGACCTTAACGACATCGTCGTGTGGGGCCCAACGTCTTGGTCGTGTGGGGCCACAACGCCTTGGTCGTGTGGGGCCCAACGTCTTGGTCGTGTGGGGCCACAACGTCTTGGTCGTGTGGGGCCCCAACGTCTTGGTCGTGCGGGCCCCAACGTCTTGGTCGTGTGGGGCCCAACGTCTTGGTCGTGTAGGGCCCCAACGTCTTTGTCATGTGGGGCCCCAACGTCTTGGTCGTGTGGGGCCCCAACGTCTTGGTCGTGCGGGCCCCAACGTCTTGGTCGTGCGGGGCCCAACGTCTTGGTCGTGTGGGGCCCTAACGCCTTGAACGTGTGGGGCCCCAACGCCTTGAACTTGTGGGGCCCCAACGCCTTGAACGTGTGGGGCCCCAACGTCTTGGTCGTGTGGGGTCCCAACGTCTTGGTCATGTGGGGCCCAACGTCTTGGTCGTGTGGTGCCCCAACGTCTTGGTCGTGTGGAGCCCCAACGTCTTGGTCGTGTGGGGCCCTAACGTCTTGGTCGTATGGGGCCCTAACGCCTTGAACGTGTGGGGCCCCAATGCCTTGAACGTGTGGGGCCCCAACGCCTTGAACGTGTGGGGCCCCAACGTCTTGGTCGTGTGGGGCCCCAACGTCTTGGTCGTGTGAGGCCCCAACGCCTTGAACTTGTGGGGCCCCAACGTCTTGGTCGTGTGAGGCCCCAACGCCTTGAACTTGTGGGGCCCCAACGTCTTGGTCGTGTGGGGCCCCAACGCCTTGGTCGTGTGGGGCCCAACGTCTTGGTCGTGTGGGTCCCAACGCCTTGGTCGTGTGGAGCCCCAACGCCTTGGTTGTGTGGGGCCCAACGCCTTGGTCGTGTGGGGCCCAACATCTTGGTCGTGTGGGGCCCCAACGCCTTGGTCGTGTGGAGCCTCAACGCCTTGGTTGTGTGGGGCCCAACGCCTTGGTCGTGTGGGCCCCAACGCCTTGGTCGTGTGGGGCCCCAAGGTCTTAGTCGTGTGGGCCCCAACGCCTTGGTCGTGTGGGGCCCCAACGCCTTGGTCGTGTGGGGCCCCAACGCCTTGGTCGTGTGGGCCCCAACGCCTTGGTCGTGTGGGGCCCCAACGTCTTAGTCGTGTGGGCCCCAACGCCTTGGTCGTGTGGGGCCCCAACGTCTTAGTCGTGTGGGCCCCAACGCCTTGGTCGTGTGGTACAAACATTCAAATGAAAATTGTCTGGCTGCGATTAATTTATACGCGAACAAGCAACAATAGCTGATAGCTCGTAACGTGCTACGCTAAACTTTTAATAAGGTTATTAAAACAATAATTGGGACGACACATCGCCTACTGCTACGTTATAAATGACAATTCGTACAGTAATTAATATATCAGAAGTTAAAATTACTATTTCTGAAATCTTTTGATTTTATTAAACGTTGTTTACACGCAAAAAAAGGTTTAATTCACTAGGCGTAAATTCATTTTAGAAGATTTCTCTGATTTTGTCAATAGTCCCACGCTAAAAATTTATATTTCAATCTCACGCTGAACATAACTCCTTGGAAGCTAAATGTTTCTCTGCGCGCGCACTTATCAGGCCTGGGACCATTACCTCATCTTAATGGACCGCCACATTATGGACTCGTGCGATAAAGCGGAGCGTGATTAGCGCCCTGCCTGGTCTGTGCTCGGCGCGATCGCTGCAATAACCGATTATTTGCTTCATGCTTTCCCGTGTAGATGTGGAGGCTAAAATATCATAGGAATTATCTTGATGAGTAAAGAGAAGCAACAATAGAACCAAGTATCACTCATAAGCGCTGCACATATATGGTTGCGCGAATGCATATATGTGTGTTTTTATTGTTCCTTTAAACAATGATGGTCGATCAATGTTCGCTCACGCATAAGATGACTAATCTGAAAACTGTGATTAACTTTATAAGTTCAAATTTACAAGTTCCTACTCAAGACTTCTAAGTTCTGGATCCATTTCTTGCCGCCAAGTCAACACAGAAGTTTCCCAAGTTTAATGCACAAACAATTAAGCGAAGTTAAGCTTTGTTGTTGCGGGAGGAGGCTTCTCGCCCTCGCTTTGCCGTGCAAGTACGGCTGAAGATTTCGTTAGTTTATAAATTTTAAATGTTAACAATTCAGCAATTTTGACAAACGTATATGCGTCGTACCTACCTTGGGCTATAGTAACTTTGATATCCCAATATTCCCAGTCTCATTTGATCCTGACAATAAGTTTACGTTTGTGAGAATTTAGTTGGAGTAATTTTTTATTTAAAACTCATATGTCGGATATTGTGAAACGTTTAATTTACTTTAAATTTTCTTCAGCAGCAGCTGCACTCTGAGTATCGCAGCACCTACCGCTGGCACGAATATCATCCTCAGAATGCAGCTGTGGTCATCCGCAAACCTCCGCAGGCGTTCTCAGGTGAGTACAAATAATTGTTTGCTTTATTTTAAAGCAGGTTTCATTGAAGACCAGAGAATTTGTTTTATTCGCAATTTTCTTATTCGTTTTTTCAATATATCGAACAATATTTTTAGTTTGAACTGGCAAATCGAAAATCAGGTTTCGATTTGCCAGTTCAAACTAAAAATATTGTTCGATATATTGAAAAAACGAATAAGAAAATTGCGAATAAAACAAATTCTCTGGTCTTCAATGAAACCTGCTTGAAAGAAGAAATTCTGCCAACCTATACTAATTTATTTTAAAGCTATCTAAATGATGGCAAGAACCTGCATTTGTGGCCAATCGTACTCTTATTTAGTTTATTATTATTTTCACTATATCACTCTTCGTTGCAAACAGGTGGAGTTTCTTGCCACGTCAAGTTATTGATTCAGAGACTGAGGCTAATGATGAATATGATGAATTTTTCTGATGAATGAGTGCTGGAGTGAGTGATATGTGTTACTCGACTCAGTGATGAGACCATTCCTGCTCGGTAGTAATTAAAAAACACGTGTTTATACTACGTAACATCAAATTAATTTATCGACGGGACAAAATGTTCAACGAAGAACTCATTTAAGGGAATGACGATCTTCTTAGCTCAAGAGAACATGGTTCAAGAACAATGTTCATGAGCATTTATCTAGTTAATTTGAGTCTTATTCAAAATAAATTTTGAATTTTGATTAACCAAGGAATACTACACGTCTAATAAACTTCATAAACTCATTTTCGAACTAGGAATAAACTCGCATATAATTAAAAAAAACGTTGATTTATTCTCTACGCGAAGAATTTGCGACGAGGTAATGCCATGAATAATTTTAACTGCTGTTGCTTGTGATGGTCTTTCGGAGGCGCTTGCCTTGGACGCGATGAGAAACCGAGTCCTGTAACCAACGCCGCTGATCAGGAGAGTCGGTGCAGGATTTTACGACGCCGAGGCTGCAAGGGGGATTTCTGATGGCCTGCGCAAAGCTTTTTTTTGGAAACTTGGCAACTTGCTTAGCATTTGCTGTAGGCGCCTGCTTGCTGTAAGCGCCTGCTTGCTGTAAGCGCCTGTTTGCTGTAGGCGCCTGATAGCTGTAGGCGCTTGCTTGCTGTAGGCGCTTGCTTGCTGTGAGTGCCTGCTTGCTGTAGGCGCCTGCTTGCTTTATAGGCGCCTGCTTGCTGTAGGCGCCTGCTTGTTGTAGGCGCCTGCTTGCTGTAGGCGCCTGCTTTCATCCAAGCTGCAAAGTTCAGGCGTTCGATCGGAGCCCGCAATTCTTTCCGCTAAATTCTTCGGGAAGTTTTAACTCCAAGCGGTCCTTGCTGAACGCTTGAATATTCCAGTGCATGCTATACATTGTTATGGTAAGTAACGAAAATTCTCTGTTATCAGACTTTTCAATAAATAAATAGTACGCAAACATTGGGTAGACATCAACTGAAATATAACTGAAAATATTGTATGCAATAGAAAAAGCTAGTATGCAATTATGAATCTGATTGAGATGATAAAGATCAATTCTTAGCGAAAGAAATAGGGTCTGCCCTCAATAGGACGTCTCGAAATAAGAACGTTGAAAATTTATGACGTCAAATGTAATTGTTAATTATATTATGTTGTTGAATATTTTTTTTTAATAATTATTCATGCACTATTTCACATCATTCGTATTACGGATCTTCTATGATACTAAAAATTTTGTGTAGTTTTTTTTTTTTTTTAAATTATCGATGAAATTCAACAGATGAGTGTCCCCGTTCATCATCTTGCCAAAAACCAAAACTTTATCTCAATTATACTTTGAAAGAAATATATATTTCTTAGTACAAATTTGTTGTGTCTTGATTTTAAATGCATAATTCCTAAATTTTTGTTCATAATTTCAGAATTACAGAGCAGTTGCAAGCGGCATCTTTCTGTCACTATCAAACGACTAAATTAAAAAATAATCAATCTTAAAAAATATACTATTAGTTTATAAAAATTGGTCTTAAAAAATATACTATTACAATTATTTCATACTAACAATTTGGTAAATTCAGTAAGAATGAATTGTGTGAGGCGAGACCGTGATAGTGTGACGTGATCACAGGCAGCAATATGCATGCAGCTCGTCAATAGTTGGGCGCCACTCTGGCCGACGTGTCAAGCAACCGAAGGTGTCGAAGCAAAACTATCATCATTGGACTTGAAAGACACAATTCTGAACGCAGTGATGTTTATTATGTCTGAAAAGCTTGTTAATTATGTCTGTTTACAATGTTTGGATATCTTATTCTATTTTGCTTGTTCCTTATGTCTGAATTACTTGTTATATCTAATTGTGAGGAATGTTCACACTGGTGCCAATAATTTTTAAAATGACCTACCCATTCTGCGATGGTTTGCTTCGCTGTTTCGCGAACGACTTGCTAGCTGTCCCCTCCCGCTGTTAATTTGTGCAGTCATTATCTTGTCGTTTTCTTACATTAAGTGAGCGGTCAAATATGCTTCGCTGCAGTACCATTTGCTTCTGCTCAAAACCACCGAATATTCGGATGCAGGGAAAGGTAAATTTCTGTGTTTGAAAATTAGTATAGGTTGGCAGAATTTCTTCTTTCAAGCAGGTTTCATTGAAGACCAGAGAATTTGTTTTATTCGCAATTTTCTTATTAGTTTTTTCAATATATCGAACAATATTTTTAGTTTGAACTGGCAAATCATTCGAAACGTCGTTAACGAAATAAAAATGTCCATCGGTAACCTGATTTTCGATTTGCCAGTTCAAACTAAAAATATTGTTCGATATATTGAAAAAACTAATAAGAAAATTGCGAATAAAACAAATTCTCTGGTCTTCAATGAAACCTGCTTGAAAGAAGAATTTCTGTGTTTGTGCACTGTTAGAAAAATCACCGTTAAACGATATTACTGGCGTTTCAGTAACCGGCCGGCTCGTGAAAATAAACACCGTGTTGCCGTTTTTATTCCAATTTTACACTAGAAACCCGTGTAACATCTGAAAAAAAAACGACAAAACGGTTTATTTTCATTGAGCGGCTGGTTACTAGAACGCCGGTAATAACGTTTTTTCACTGTTTTTTTGAACAGTGCGCATAATTTCTATGAATCATTTAAGGGGAAGAATGTTCCGAAACACTTTTTGTACTATTATTTTTTTTATTCCCAGTAATATACATTGGCTTTCCATATATTCTGTATGTCCATAATGAAGTTCGCTCTCTGAATTTGTTTGGTGCGTGCTGAAGCTCAAGAGTGAAGCTAACAAAGAGGCACTCAAGAGCTTGTGTTAAAACTGACGCTCAGTCCGGCAGCACTCAAAGCTTCTATTTGATCCCAGGTTATCGGAAGCTGGAGAACAAATGCACGGGAAATCTTACGACGCCAATTTTTTTACTTTAAAAATGATCTCTTTATATATTTATTGTATTTGAAGTTTCGTCTAAACTTGTTGCGGAGAAACTAAATTCAATGCGCAAATGGACTTATGCGATTTTATAGCGGTTTAGTAATAAATTTCCTTCCTACACAAGTAAAAAATACACTGTACTTGTATAACTTTTATATTTAACGGGATTCAATATATCAAACTTTTCTCGAATAAAACCCTTTCACTTTCACCGTCTACTAAAGATCAGTTCTTTTCCAGGCCATAAGCTCCCCATTCCAGCCTGTAGCATCAAAGGGACCTCATGCTTCGGACATAATGAGTGTTAGTGTTCCAATAAGTGACTTGGATTACGTATTTCTAGATGACGAAGCAAGATATTATAACCCTGCTGATCCCATGCACGAGGATAGCTTTTAAGCAAGGCATCGAAGGAGGTAAATGTATTGAAAGTCTGATGAAATTTGGAAAAGAAGAAAATCTTAATATTTCTTCTCAATAAACGTAGGTTATTTAGGTTAATCATGACTGGTTGTGTGGCCAGGGCCAGCGTGTAGCGTTGTGTAGGAGGATCACGGCAGCGTGTGATGCTCAAAACAGAATTTAAGCTAAGTTCTGCTTCAGTGTGGTGCTGCTGAAGCGTACTTGTTTTATTTATTTTGATAGAGGTTAAATTATTTAGCTGATCAGATTTTTTGTATTTTTTTATGAATAATAAAATCTTTTTATTATTTGAGAAATGCTCGAGTTTATACGAATGGAAGCTATAACGGAAAATTGTGTTGAGGCTCCGTCGCGTGTTGTCCGCATCGGCGGTAACCGCATCGGGGGTTCATTCGCATGCTTTATTTTTTAACAAGTATTTGCTCAAACATAATTATAGTTCTCCTTTATGAGGCTACCAGCGTGTCGATGTCAATAATATTTCCGCATGTATTCCCATATTATTACAAACGTAATAGAGTTGTTATAAGCGACGCTGCAAGTTCTCGTGCACCTGGATTGCGTTTACAGTTTCCATTATACGCGGGAGTTGTTTATACGTCGAGGCACAAATATCTGCCACACGTATAATTTCTTATTATATGAATGACCTATTCACAGTCACACTGTCATATTCACCACACTGCCCTCCCGTGGCTGCGTCCACGAATAGCGCTGAGGTGGCAGCAGTGGACGGTGGGAGTGTAAACGAACATTTGCGTCATGGTCGCGCACTCGGTCACATTGGGCCGTTACGTCACGGCTTCAGATCGCTATCATCAGATTTATCATCGGGAATAAATGCTTTTGGATATAATGTATCTTTTTCCGATATAATTTGCATTTATTTTGGAATTACTAGTTTGTAAGCTAGGATATGGTACCACGTGCAGCAGCAACTGGCTTGGGTCGTACTACCTAAAGTAATTATGAGTTCGTAACTAATCTCATATAAAAGGCTTTTCAAGTTAAACCAACCAATCATATAGACTAGAAATCACTTACTACGTTTGCTTGAGTTGCTACGTGTACTTAGCGAGCTTCATAGAAACCGAGAACAACACGAAGTGAACGTGCAGTGGTGGACGATCGGGGGATTGTGCACAGGAACAC